ACTGGTGCTGGATTTCCTGTGTACAAAGGAAAAGGGGCTCGATTACAAAGGGCTTTGATCAATTTTTTCCTAGATGAAGCAACATCTGCTGGCTACCAAGAAATACAACCACCACTCGTTGTGAACAAAGAATCGGCGCTCGCTACAGGTCAATTACCTGACAAAGAAGGTCAAATGTACCATTGCGAAAAAGATGATTTTTACTTGATCCCTACGGCTGAAGTTCCACTTACAAATTTGTACAGAGATGTTATTTTAAACAAAACGGACTTCCCTATCAAGCTTACCGGATACACACCTTGTTTCCGAAGAGAAGCAGGTTCTTATGGCTCTGACGTCAAGGGATTGAATAGATTACACCAATTTGACAAGATAGAAATTGTCCAAATGCAACACCCTGACCATTCCTATGATACCCTCATGGACATGGTAACACATGTAGAAAGTTTGTTAAATAAATTGGAACTTCCATACCGCATTTTGCGTTTATGTGGCGGTGATATGAGTTTCAATTCTGCACTGACATTTGACTTCGAAACTTATTCTGCGGCACAAGGTAGATGGCTAGAAGTGAGTTCAGTGTCTAATTTTGAGACATTCCAATCCAATCGTATGAAGTTGCGATTTAGAGATGAAGATGGTAAAACAAAATTGGCGCATACACTCAATGGTAGTGCTTTGGCACTTGCCAGAATAGTGGCTACGCTTTTAGAAAACCATCAGACACCTGAAGGTATAAAGATACCTAAAGCATTGCAACCATATACAGGATTTGCTATTATCAATTAATTTAACAAAATTTAAAACACAGATTTAAAACACATGATCGGTTATTATGTAATTTTAGGAGTTTTCACCTTAATTGGTTTCCTTGTCGGAAATAGGTTGAAATCCAAATTTGCTCATTACAACAAAATAGGTACCCGCAGTGGTATGAATGGTAAAGAGATTGCTGAAAAAATGCTTGCACACTATGGCATCAGAGATGTACAAGTGGTGATGGGACAAGGTTTCTTATCTGACCATTACAACCCTGCAAATAAAACTGTCGCATTGTCTCCAGACGTTTACAATGGTAGAACAATATCCGCTGCAGCAGTTTCTGCACATGAATGCGGACACGCAGTTCAACATGCGGAAGCTTATAGTATGCTCACTTTGAGATCAAAATTAGTACCAGCAGTCCAATTCAGTAGTAGTGTTCAACAATTCCTATTTATGGGCGTAATGTTTGGTATGGGCGCAGGTATTGGCGGCAATACATTAATGTTAATTCTGACAGCTACATTTGGATTGACTGCTTTGTTCAGTCTTGTGACCTTACCTGTAGAGTTTGATGCATCCAATAGAGCATTGGCATGGTTAGACGATTCAGGGTTCATGCAAGGAGCAGAACATGATGGTGCCAAAGATGCACTGTGGTGGGCAGCAATGACTTATGTGACAGCAGCTTTAGGTTCATTGGTAACTTTCCTTTATTTTCTATTAAGATTTATGGGTAATAGAGAATAAAATCCCAAAAAGATTTTACTTTTGCAGCCATTATTAAGTCAAAATTTTAGACAATCATGATCGAAGAAATAGAATTGCAATTTATGCAAACGGCTGAGTCCTTTGATAAAGCAATCGAACATTTAGTGTTTGAATTGAACAAAATACGTGCTGGTAAAGCTTCTCCCGCTATGCTCAATGGACTTATGGTAGAATATTATGGTTCGCCTACACCTTTGTCACAAGTCGCCAATATAAGTACACCAGATGCTCGAACAATCAGTATCCAACCATGGGAAAAAAAGACCCTGGCGCTGATAGAAAAAGCAATTTTTGAAGCAAATCTTGGCATCACACCTATGAATGATGGTGAAGTGGTACGTCTCATGA